CTAAAGAGATTTGGCTTTAATGAAAAGGTAATCCAGTGTATTAAAACTATGTATCAAGAGCCCACAGCTAAGATCAGAGTAAATTGAAGCCTGTCCAACTCGATTTAGTTGGAGAGGGGTACAAGATAAGGTTATTGTCTGTCTCCCACTATTTATGCCCTATATGTTGAGCCTTAAGCACAGGCAATAAGGCAGAGTTTGGAACTGCAGGGTGCCACTGTAGTAGGCACTAAACATATCATTGGCCTTTTCGCGGTTGATGTCATTATTTTTCACGAACAACCAGATATATGTTTCCGACACCTAGTGTCTCTTCTGAGAAAGTATGAACACTATTCAGGTTATAAACTGAATAAATCAAAAAAAGAAATTATCTTGTTAAGTTTTTCTCCATCCCGACAAATAAGAGATGCATATAATTTGAAATGGAATTCTTGAACAATGAAGTATCTTGATGTAACTCTGAGTAAAACACTTCCTGACATGTTTGAAAACATAAAAGCGAAATTGAAAAAAACATCCAAAAAGATTTTGAAAGGTGGTCTACCCTCCCATTAGACTTAAGTGCTAGAATACAGACAGTGAAAATGAATATTTCACCTAAATTGTTCTATTTATTTCAAGTTTATTCAATTAATATCCCCTAAATTAAATTCATGGCCTGGGACAAGATGATTTATAGATTCATTTGGAATAGTAAAAATCCCAGAATAAAATTTACAACACTTTAACTACCTAAAAGCAAGGGGGGGTTACTAAGGTGACCAGACATCCCTGATTTCCAGGGACAGTCCCTATATTAGATGACCTGTCCCTGGCTTAAGCTGTCCCCGGAGATGTCCCTGATTTAAGCGTTTCATGAATGAGAACAAAAATTTTGCGTGTAGACTAGAACAATGGTTATTATGGTAGCCGAGAAAGTAGGATGCATGAGTGAGTATGTTGTATGTAGTCATGAACAACAGTTTATTACAGGTTATTACGGGTGGCGTGCGCTGCTACTAAGTAGTAGCAAGCCCCCCCCTCTCATGTATGTTTGCATCTTTGAGGTTGGACAAATGTGAGTTTGGTAAAGCCATTGTTATATACAGTAGCTGAGCAGGTTGGACACGGTAAGTGTGCCTTCTGTCAGCCATTCTGGATTTTCCCATGCCAGAGACTGGCGGCAGCTCTGCAGGTCTTTGTGCATAAGCTGTTTATTACCTCCATTTCTGCATCAATTTTGCCCAGGTTGTTGCACCCCCTAGTTCGAGCCTAGCCTGTCAGTTTTTGTGGACTCCTGTATGTCAAGATTTGTTTGCGTTCTTTGCAGTGTGCATGTCTGTGCCAAAATTTCACCCTTTCAAAGTCAAAGTATTGCTTTTTTTAACTGTAACAAACACCAGCTTAACTAAAGCTCCAGCATGTCTCTACTTTGCTGTAGTCTTTATGGCACTTTGAGGTTTATGTTGGGTCCAGTTCTGAGCCAGTTATTGTGTATTCTGATCATAATCCTCTTGTGTTTCTGTCACGCATGTGCAACATTAAACAGGGTATTTTGCGCTGGTTGGAATTGCAAGATTTCAATACAGAAATTGTCATATTAGAGGCACCAAGAACGTTGTTGCTGATGCAATGTGAAGGGAGATACTAAAAAGGAAAACAGACATTTGCTGAAATAAACCTTTAAACTGAGGTGAGGGGGTGTTATGACTATGGGTCATAATTTTAAATTGGGCATATTTCTCTGCAGTCTATCATATTTTCATGCTGGGTCCATCTGCTGCAACGCTGTTACTGTGTTGGCTCTGCCCCTTTCTCTCCTCATCTGCAATTGGCAGCTGCTGATTGGACAAGAGCTGATGGAGCATATGCTGATAGCATCCAGTTTAGGGAAAATGTAAATGGCTTTGTATTAGTTTTGTACTTTTTAGAGTAGTCCTAGTAGAAATGAATGGTAGCCTTAGATTTTATGCCTCTGGTAGGGTCACCCAATGCAAACAGGTCCTGGGGGAGGGACCAGACAAAGCATAGCTTAAATAGACCCCTTATGATGGATAAAATATTTGGTACTCATTGCTACTCAGTTTCCCTTGCCCAGACATGGGTCACTGCAAGTTACACTGGTCTACTCTGGAGTTGCCACTGGTGAGAGGTGCTGGACAGGGGTGGCAGTACTTCTTACTCCCTGGCTTGGTGCCTGTACGTTAGGTTTTCCCCAGTGGATGAGAGGGCAGCCTCACTTCACCTTCGGGTGGGAGATGGATCCTGACTGTTGTTTGTGCCTTTGCTCCAAGTAGCAGCTCAGACTATCCACCCATCTTTGAGTCCTTGGTAGGGGTGCTGGAGAGTGCTCCTTCGAGGGACTTCAATGCCCATGTTGGCTAAAACAGTGAGAACTGGAGGGGCATGATTGGGAGGAACAGCCCCCTCGATCTGAACCCAAGTGGTGCTTTGTTATTGGATTTCTGTGCTCATTACAGATTGTTCATAACAAACACCATGTTCAGACATAAGGGTGTCCACATGTGCACTTGACACCAGGACACTCTGAGCCTCAGTTCGATGATTGATTCTGTGGTTGTGACATCGGACTTGCAGCCACATGTCTTGGACGCTCCAGAAAAAAGAGAGGCGGGGCTGTCAACTGATCACCACCTGGTGGTGAGCTGGCTCTGATGGTGGGGGAGGATGCCAGTCAAATGCAATGTGAGAGTCTGTTGGGAATGTCTGGCAGAGTCTCCCGTCGGAAGGAGCTTTAACTCCCACTTCTTGGAGGTCTTCAACCCGCTCCTGGGGGAGCATTGTGTCTGAGTAGGCTAAGTTCTGTGGCTCAACTGTTTAGGCAGCTGACTGGAGCTTTGGCCTTAAGATGGTCAGTGCCTGTCATGGCGCTAATACCCAAACCCATTGGTGGACTCCAGTTAATAAGCTCCTCGATGGCAAGGCCCTGAGGGTGGATGAGATCCACCCTGAGTTCCTCAAGGCCCTGGATGTTGTGGGGCTGTTGTGGCTGACACAATTCTACTACATCACGTGGACATTAGTGTCTCTGGATTGGCAAACCGGGGTGGTGGACCCTCTTTTTGAGAAGAAGGATCGGAGCATGTGTTCCAACTATAGGAGGATCACACTCCTCAGCCTCCCTGGAAAGGTCTATTAAGGGGTCCCGGAGATGAGGGTCTGCCGGATAGTCAACCCAGAAGGAGATCCATGAGGAGCAATGTGGTTTTCGCCCTGGTCGTGGAACTGTGGACCAGCTCTACACTCTCGGCAGGATCCTCAGTGTGCATTGGAGTTTGCCCAACCAGTTCATATGTGTTTTGTGGACTTGGAGAAGGCATTCTACCGTGTCCCTCAGGGAGTCCTGTGGGAGTGCTCCAGGGGTATGAGGTACTGAACACCCTGACAAGAACTGTTTGTTCCCTGTACAACCAGTGCCAAAGCATGGTCCGGTCGTAAGTCGGACTTGTTTCCAGTGAGGGATGGACTCCACCAGGGCTGCTCTTTCGCACCAATTCTGTACACATTTTTTATAGATAAAATTTCTAGACCCAGCCAGGGCGTTGAGAGGGAAGGGTTCGGTGGCCTTAGGATTGGGTCACAGCTTTTTGCAGCTGACGTGGTCCTGTTGGCTTCAGCCCATGACCTTCAGCTCTCACTTGATCGGTTCGCAGCCAAGTGTGAAGCAGGTGGGAAAAGAATCAGCACCTCCAAATCTGAGTCCACGGTTCTCATAAGGAAAATGGTGGAAAATGATGAGATCCTGCCCCAAATGGAGGAGTTCAAGAGAATGGAGCAGAAGATTGATGGCCAAATCAGTGCCACATCAGCAGTGATGCAGAGGCTGCACAGATCGTCATGGTGAAGAGGGAGCTGAGCCAAAAGTCAAAGCTCTCGATATCTATGTTCCTACTCTTATCTATGGTCAGGAACTGTCAGGTCAGGTAGTGTCTGAAAGAACAAGATCGTGAGTACAAGCGGCCGAAATAAGTGTCCTCCGCAGGGTGGCTGGGTTCTCCCTTAGAGATAGGGTGAGAAGCTCAGTCATTCAAGAGGGGCTCAGAGTAGCGCTGCAGCTTCTCAGCAATGAAAGGAGTCAGGTGAGGTGGCTTGTGCATCTAATCAGGATGCCTCTAGGACACCTTGCTGGTGAGGCGTTCAGACCACATCCCACCAGTAGGAGACCTCAGGAAAGACCTAGAACATGCTGGAGAGACTCTCAGCTGGCTTGGGAACACCTCAGGGTCCTCCAGAAAGAGCTGGACCAAGTGGCTGGGGAGAGGGAAGTCTTAGCTTCTCTGCTCAGGCTGCTGCCCCCGCAACCTTACCCTGGATAAGCTGTTGAAGATGGATGGATGCCTGACATAAACAGGGGCATACAGTGTATGTCCACACGCATAGCGTTTTTTTTTTTAAATCTTCACTTTGGCCGCAGATAAGAGACTAGATATTCCTTTATTAGTCCTTCAGGGGGAAATTCCAATTTACAGCAGCATAAATACAAGTACAAAAAGAGAAATGAAAGGATAAGAAACACTTTAAGTTAAAATAGATATATCAAGAGTCTTATAAGAATTACTAGTTACATGTATTTAGCATATACATGTAAGTATGATTTATTGCACACTGAGGAATATGTGGGTCCAGTTGAGAACCACTGCTCTAACTGATGAACGGATGTCCATAGATGTGACACCATGCGGCTTGCATCACGTTTGATGTGAACTAGCTCCTGCTAACCAGAAAAATCACACTGATCGACAAGAAGCCGAGATCTTCACCTGAGGACAATTTTCCGCAGCGGGTCTACTTGTTGGACCCGTGCCAGTAAGTGGCGTTACTTGACGTGCTTTCTATGAAACACCTTACTTACTACGCTGAATCAACGCTGTGTGTAAGTGCTGTGCCCCCCTGCTAGCAGCTACCTACAGCTACAACTGCTTGCCTTTTTCAGCACTTTTAGCCCTGTACTTGCCCTCTCTTTTGTTTCCGTTTCATAGATACACACATCATATAACATGGCTCCACTCACCTCCCCGCCGGACTGTGTCCGCTGCTCCTGTCTTACTGTGAAGATCACCGAACTAGAGGATCAGATATCCAATCTGTATAAGATCCAAGAGGCCGAGCAGTTTTTGGACACCTTCATTCTTGGTTCAGTCCTCACCAACCCCACTGCTGGTTCTGTTCCTCCTCCGGTCACCGAGCCTGCTGCCCCTGCCATCTGTCCTGCTGCTGAGGCCACTTCTTCTCCTCCAGTCACCGAGCCTGCTGCCCCCGCTGTTGGTCCTGTGGTTGCCATGGACTTTCTGCCGGCTGAGGAGCCCAATAACTCCTGGGTCCGCCTCGGGGCTAGACCTAAGTTGATCCTGGTCAGCTCTATCCCGTCTCATCAAGCTCCTTGGATCGGGATTGGAGATGGTACACGGGGAGGGAGGCGCTCCTTCCGTGTACCACCGAGCCGTGACATCAAGCTGCAGAATAAATATGACGTCCTTCGTGACTTTCCATCATTACTGGCTGAAGAGCTCCCAGCCCACTGTCAAAACAATTCACCTCCTCTCTCTTCTCCAGCCAAACCCCAGCGCCCGACCTGCCGCTCATTGCCACAGTTCACACCAGCACCAAAAAGAGTGCCTGTCTCCTGCTCAGTCCACCCGTCTCCATCCCCGCCGCCATCACAAAAACATATCTCTCAGTCTAAGCTCCTGTTGGAACTGAGTCAGTCTCCTGAGGACAAAAAGTCACAAAATCACTCCTCTAGTCCATCTTCTGCTCCCCCTCCAGCTCCAGCCTCCACTGCGCTTGGTTCCAAACACCTGGTTCAGCCGCCTGCCCCAACTCCTCTTTTTTCTCCAACGGCGCTTATCATCGGGGACTCGCTGGTAAGGAATGTCCATTTTTTTCAGTGCAATCACCCACTGTATTCCTGGAGCCACAACTGTCCATATCCTTGACCAACTTCCCAGCATCAAAGCTTCCCTTCCACCATCCATCACTATAATTATCTTTCATGTTGGCACATGTGACGTAACTCGGCGACAGTCTGAGTTCACCAAGGCTAATTTTATTGGCCTTTTTGATCTCCTCATCAGCAGCAGAAAGTCCATCTTTATCGCCGGCCCAATTCCCACTCTGGCCTGTGGGGATGAGCGTTTTAACCGCCTCTGCTACCTTCACGCCTGGCTGGAATCCACATGCAGCACTCACAAAATAAACTTCATCCATAACTTCAACTCCTTCTGGTCCCACTCTGTATTTGCTCATGATGGCCTTCATTTAAACAGGTCCGGTAGCCGCTTGCTAGCGGCTAACATACAACAAGCTGTGGCGTCTCACCACCTGTCTCCCGGTGTGTGACTAGCTCCTTCATCGTCATCGTCATCGCCATCACCTGCGGACCTCCCCATGCCCCTGCTGTCCACTGACAACAATCAAGCACCATCAACTCCTCCCTCTAGCTCCCCCTATCGGTATTTTACGCAATTACCCACTTTAGGCTGCAAAGAAACTAAAAGCAATGTAACCTTTCATAAAGAACACAGTCTCTGTAAATTGGATGTTGTGCCCACCCCTGCCACTAACTCATCAATTCCGGTTAGGGTCACAATTAGGTGTTTTCATAGTCGCCCCAAACTGAGTAACCATAGAGGTGGCGTTACACGTAATTTGCTTCAGCCTCTGAAACATGCAGCGCCATCAGCTGATGTAAAGTCCACTTTACATATTGCCTTACTGAATACTAGGTCACTGGCAAACATAACATTTATATTGAATGACATTTTCACCACACGGAACCTGGATTTTATGCTCTTGACAGAGACTTGGCTCAAGGATGGTGATGGCACTCCTTTCTCTGAGCTTCTTCCCCCTGACTGTCTGTTCTTTAGCTCCCCTCTGCTCTCCCCTCGGAGGTGGAGGTCTTGCCTCCATGTTTATATCCAGTTTTCAGTGTCGTCAGCCTTCTTCGGATTCATTCTCCAGCTTTGAACTGCAGATGTTTGAGTTACACCTATCCTCCCCTGTTTTGTTTGTGGTCATTTATTAGTGTTTATTAGTTTATTAGTGACTTTGCAGAATTTCTGTCAGGAGTTACTGTAAAATATGACAACCTTTAATTTGTGGTGATTTTAATATCCATGTTTGTTTTGAATCAAGACCTCTAGTCAATGATTTTTTAAATCTCCTTGTAGCTTTTAACCTTTTTCAGTCTGTCAAGGGCCCGACTCATGAGAAAGGTCATACTCTAGATCTGGTGTTATCCCGTGGCATATCTGTGTGTATAAATGAAATATGTGAGACAGCCTGTATCTCTAACCATCTGCCTGTGCCTATTCACTGCATCCATCCCATGCCCACATGTGAATACCTGTACTGCCCCGCGCCATTTGCGCACAATCAGCCGCCAGACTGCATCGCAGTTCTCAGCCTTATATCTTTCTGAAACATCTGGGCTGACGTTTAACATGCTGAATGACAATGTCACTCCCTGCGCTGATGAGCTTTTAACCCTTTTTAATTGTACCTGCACAACTATCTTGGACAATGTTGCCCCTTTTAGGCTAAAACGCACTAAAGCACTTTCTGAACTGTGGCTAAATGACTCCACGCACACTCTCGGTTGGCATGCCGGTGCGCCGAGAGAAAGCGGAAGAAAGACAAGCTCAATGTCTCTAAACAAGCTCTCCACGATAGTCTGTGTGCCTATCAGAGTGCTGTTAGGACAGCTAAAATGGGATATTTCTCGAATCTTGTCTCCACAAATTGTCATAAGCCCCAAGTTCTTCTTAATATTTTCAACTCCCTTGTCAATCCATGTGATAACTCCCCTATTGACTCGTCGCCGGCTTTTTGTGAAAATTTTTTGAAATATTTTATTGATAAAATTTCTTCTCTCAGGCCACCTACCTCCACCCCTGCTGCTCATGGTCCAGCCTCTGGTCCGGATCCCACGGCCCCTTTTTTAACCGCTGTCTTTTATCAGTTTGAGCCCATATCCCTCTCCTCACTATCTGATGTAGTTTCACAACCGCGGCCCACAAACTGTCCCTCTGACAGCATCCCTTCTCGTCTTTTTAAAGAAGTATTCAGCAGTGTGGGTTCTACAATTCTTTTACTGATTAATACCTCTCTAAACTGCAGTTTTTATCAAAAATCCGAGAAAAGGTGGTTTTTAATCAGTTACAATCATTTCTAATGAAAAATGTCATCTATGAACACTTTCAGTCCGGTTTCAAACCGCACCATAGCACTGAATCAGCACTTCTGAGAGTTTTTAATGATCTGATTTTAACTGTTGACTCAGGTAACCCTGCCCTCCTAGTGCTCCTTTATTTAACAGCTGCATTGGACACTATAGATCATAATATCCTTTTAGATTGTGTGAGACCGCCTCACGCTGCTATATGTGTGAAACTGTCATATGTGAAGCTATAGACTGGGTGCAGAGGCACTTCGTCTCCTTCAAAGTGTGAGATCGCCTCACGCTGTTATATGTGTGAGACTGTCATATGTGAAGCTAGTAGACTGGGTGCAGAGAGGCACAAGGCCAGTAGTTAAGTGGAACTAGCTAGACTGGGTGCGGAGCAGCACAGGCCAGTAGTTTGGGGAGACAGCCTGGCCCAGGTTGTGATGTGTTTTTAGGCTGAATGCCTGGTGATAAAAGGTCTTGGATAATTGTTGGGATAACAAGGAAAGCGGCAGGCACAAGTGTGTCTGTCCATTGTTGAACTGTGAGTTTTAGGTCATTCTTTTATGAGCTCTGAAAGGTGGTAGCCGACGGACGAGCCGATTCATCTAGTAATACATACGTGGATTTTCTTTCTGGAAAACTCCACTAGAAAGGGGGATTTGTCATGCGGAGTTCCACTGAGGCTGAAGAAAAAGCCAAAAGGAGAACGAAAGTGGCATATTTCCTCATAAATTCTGATCCAGACTTTAGAGGGCCGGACAAGTATAATGACGGAATAGTACATATTTGAAATGTACATACAGTATATATATATATATATATATATATATATATATATATATATATCTTTTATACATTAAAGACCTCACAAAATCAGTGTTATAATTGGACTTAAATTACAGATACAGATTGGCTTGATGAGCAGGAGATAGAAAAAGAGGTCAGTAAGGATAGGTTGAAAAGCCTATTCAGGGATCCCAATTGAACAAGCACGTCCCATATCTCCTGACCAATTGTAGAAGAATCACACAAATTGAAAAAATCACACAAACTGGAAAAATTGAAGAAATCAAAACAAGAATTAAAATAAAAAACTGAAGATCGACTCGAAAGACTGACTTCTGACCAAGACTATCACATGTGTGAAAGGGTTAACCATTGATTGATGAAAGAATGAAGTGACTGAGCTGAGTATTGCAAGTGTATGTGTGTGAAATCTGCAGTGAGTGAAGCAGCTGAGTTAAGCGCTGTGAGTGTGTGTGTGTTAAATCTGCATCAATTCTTTCAGCTGCGCTTACAGACTGACTCTGTATGTGATTACATGTATATGCTTGATAATAACTAACTCCTTGCCCCTATTTTTTTCCTGTGTCAATGTGATTCAAGCAAATGGTTGTAAAAGGGTGATATATATATATATATATATATATATATATATATATATATATATGAAAGAGGGACGAGGGAGGACAGACACTAACCAGCACAGCTAAAACACGGAGTTCACAAACATCAAATGATCCTGCACAAAAATACGATCTTAGATACAGGCCCTGGATACACCCGCCAGAAAAATATACTGATGGCATATTTCCAATCTTAATAAAGGGCACACGGGCCACTTATGTGCCGTGGCAGACCACTGACCTTACTGGGCTGATTGCCAGGTTGCCGCAACTCCGTACTAATGACCTTGTTCAGAAATTCTGTTGTTGAGGCTCTTCCTGCCCAGGTTCAAGGCAGACTGGAGGAGGTCATGGGTCTGACATCTATGTCTTATACACAGTTTCGTGATCATGTGGTGCATGCTATCGAGAAGCATAGAAAAGATGAGAGCAGACTAACGGAGCAGGAAAGAAACACACAGAGAAAACTGGTGCAGCTACAGCTGCGGGAGCTAAAAAATAAAGAAAAAACTCAAGCTGCTGTGGTGACACCAGCAGTACAGGCTGCGCAAATAACAGCTGAAGCACAGCCAATCCCAGCCCAGCAGGCACCTGCCCCGCCACCTCCGGCTCCAGTTGTTAATGTATATCCTCCATCAAGACGTTTTTTCCCTCATGGAAGACGGTATCAGACAGACAGGCGTGACCTGCCCAATGGCTGCTGGACATGTGGACAAGACGGACATAGATGGGTAAATTGCCCCAGAAATCAGGGTGGCCCAAATTGGGGACGTGGCGGGGGGGCCCCAGCCCAGGCAACGTGATGGTGGCCCGGTGAATTCTGGTACAGAGCCCTTAGCTGACTAGGGATGCCCAGAGAATCCTGCAGAGGGAGGTGGCTCCGTAACGGAGTTTCCAATGGTAGCCATGAGAGAAAACTAACCGATAGTGAGAGTTGAATTAGAGGATAGACCAACTCCCATGCTAGTCGACACTGGAGCCACTTACACATGTGTAAATTCAGAATATGCCACACACCTCCCCAGGTCTAACAAATTTGTGAAGACAGTAGGATTCTCGGGTAAACGACAGCTAATTCCACAAACGGCTCCAGTGCGACTTTCAGTGGAAGACAAAGAGGTTAAAGTGCCAATTTTGGTTTCTGAGGAAACCCCTGTGAATTTGTTAGGCCGAGATGTCTTGTGCAAACTAAATGTCCAAATTTGGTGTTCACCACAAGGAATCTATATAGACAGCTCAGGGTTAGAGTTCCAAATGAACATTCAGGCAGATTATGCAAAAACATATTGGTTGGGTGACATCGCTTACCCAGTGTCCAAAGCATTTGACACATGGGAAAAGTACATCAGAGTCCAAATTCCAAAAGTTGTTTTTTGACCCCTCCTGCAGCAGTGTGTTTGAGGAAAAGTCGGACGAAAGTAACAGAGGCGCGACTCCCACTCTGAAAACACAGTACATAGTAATAGGCCAACAAGGAGCAGCGATGAATGTAGAATCAAATCCATTCATCAGAAAGTGGTACAATGTGCCAGAGTCAGTACCACACATAACACTGCTGGTAAACGAGTGTTTTGAATCAAAAGACCTTGGGCCAATGATGTGTGCTGCAGCAAAAACAGAGTGGGAGGGAACAGATAATCCAATGATTTTTTCCTCAGAGAAGGGTGACATGATAAAGATCCTGTGTGAAACAGAAATGCGGTCAAGGCCACAAGTGGTGACTGTTCCGATTAAGGAGGCAGCACAAAGTATGATTAAAATTGAAAATGATGAAGATGCGCTGAAAGAAGACATGATTTCAAAGGTTTCTCCAGAGCTCTGGTCGAAGCATGAGACTGATGTTGGACTGGTCACGTCAGCCAGTCCTGTACGAGTAGATTTGAAACCAGTGGCGATTGCTCTAAGACTGCAAGGGAAGCTTGGCTTCCCTTAAAATGTCACCCCCCCGAAAAAAAGAAAAAGTGGTGAAATACGTACGGCTGTGTGTACATTTCATTAACTAAATACGCACTAGAAAGCCTTCATCTTTTGTTCAGACACTGTGATAAGAAGCTGATGATCACAGGTAACCGGCATAACTTCATTCACATTCATCCTCGCAGCGCCTCAGCGCTTTAAACAGCCGGACGCTGGGCTTCTGCTGACTTCAATGTGGAAGCTCAAAGTGGGTTGTTCCAGCAGCGAAACTAGATGCTCATTGGATAAATGCTGGGCTTTGTCCCGCCCATCGGAAGCTCAGCTTCACTGGAGTTCTATGGCGAGAGGGCGGTCCCGACTGTCTCCCGGACTCCGAGCTTCTGCATCCATGATTGGATGAGCTGTCTGAGGCGAAATCCTTTTTTGATTGACAGCTAAACAAGCGAATCAGTGATCTTGAAGAATAAAACATCTACCAAAGCATTTTTCAAGTTACTCATTCCGTTGTTCTTAACTGCTCCAGAGACTTTACCGATCCTCAGCGACTTTTGTCTTTGTTAAAAACGACTGCCGTTGTGTTTGGCGACTCTGTTCTGTTACATACTAATAAACAAATACAATTATGATGTAGGCCAGAAAAATGAGCTTCCCCTCCTTGAAAGACCAGCAGCCGCCACTGTCTGAAACCCAATGTGAAATTGCCATATCGGACGCAATATCCTCTGAAGCCACAGGCAGAGGAGGGAATAAGCAAGACAATCGAAGGATTGTTAAAAGCAGGAGTACTGATTGAGACACAGAGTGTCTGCAACACTCCTATTTTGCCAGTCTTGAAAGCAGATAAATCTAAATATCGGCTGGTGCATGACTTAAGAGCTGTAAATGAGATTGTGGAAGACTGGCCAGCAAAGGTGCCAAATCCACATACACTTCTCACAAATGTGCCTCCAGATGCAAAATATTTCACAGTGATTGATTTGTGTTCTGCCTTCTTCAGTGTCCCTCTAGCAGAGGAATCGCGCTATTTGTTTGCATTTAAATACGGGGGAAACAGTACACTTACACAAGACTGCCACAGGGCATGAAGTTGAGCCCACATTTATTTAACAAGGTTCTAAGACAGGATCTTGAAGACTTGATGTTGACAAGCATATTGTTGCAGTATGCTGATGATTTACTGATCTGTGCACCGACATTGGAGGAGTGTTACCAAGAATCAGTGAAAGTGTTACAATGCCTAGCAGAGAGGGGGCATAAAGTCTCCCAGGCGAAGCTACAGTACTGCAAGCCCCAGGTAGAGTACTTGGGGAGAACAATCTCTCATGGAGCGATTGCAATGTTACCTTCTCAGTTGGAGGGTGTGAGCAGGGCTCCCCACCCACGAACAGTGGGACAAATGATGACATTTTTGGGCATGACAGGGTTTAACTCAGAATGGATTGAAGGTTATGCTGAAAAGACTGCCCCACTGAGAGATCTCATGAAAGAGGCAGGTGATCAATCATTGAAGACGCAACTGAGTTGGACGGTTGCTGCTAAGACAGCTTTTGAGACATTGAAACAGGAAATGCAGAGTGCGCCTTGTCTTGCGACTCCAGACTATAGCAAACCATTTCTGTTGTATGTGTCAAATCGACAAAACATGCATGCATCAGCTGTCCTGATGCAGGAGACTTGTAGTGGTCATCAAAAGCAACCAATAGCATACTATAGCTTGAAGCTTGATAATGTGGTCCAAGGGTGGCCTCCATGTTATCAAGGGCTAGAGAAAGAGAGACGCAAGAGAAAGCGTCCACTGTAACTATGGGATATCCAGTGACCATTTTGACTCATCATAAAATCACTGAGCTGATCAACAAAGGAAAATTTGTGGTAACTCAAGCCAGATGTTTGCAGTACATGTCACTTTTGACATATCCTGATGTTACAATAAAGAGATGTACCTCATTAAATCCAGCAGATGTTATTCCTTTTGACTTTCAGGGAGAGCCACATGAGTGCATGGCTGAAACAGTGAGGTACACAAAGTTGAGACCTGATTTGGAGTCCACGCCACTCAGAAGCTGAGGTGACGTATTTTGTTAATGGGTCATGTTATCGTGATCATTTAGGGAACCACGCCGGGTTTGCAGTGGTTAAACAGGAGGAGGATGAGTTTGTGACACTGAGTGCAGAGAGCTGCACGCAACCATGTTCTGCACAGCTAGCAGAGCTTAAAGCTCTGACAGAAGCATGTAAGCTTGCATCAGGAAAAGTTGCAAACATTTTTACAGATTCTGCTTATGCGCATGGAGTGTGCCATTTATTTGGAGCAGTCTGGAAGCAAAGAGGCTTCAAGAGAGCGGATGGCAGTCCAGTGCAGCATCGTGAACAGATTGTTGCATTGATTGCAGCAATGATGTTGCCAACAAAACTTGTCATTGTGAAGTGTCAAGCCCACAGAAAAGGGAGCAGTGACATTATCAAGGGAAATAATGCAGCTGATGAGGCTGCAAAGAATGCCTCTAAAAGTCAGGTGTCTGTATTGGCAACCCAGTCTCATGTGAAAATGTGTAATGACTACGTTTGTCCACAGTGCCAAACGTAACAGTCTCACAATTCGGGCCTAATAATTGTGAAATGGTCACGTATTTTAATCTCATTCATTTCCATTGGGCTGCCGGCGCGTCACGTGACTACTGGCAGCGGGCCTCTCAAAATCGAAAACATGGCGGACATTCCTCTCATTCTCACGGCAAAATGTCCTGTTTCGAGTTAGTTTGGCCATAAAAAATAATTTTGATGACATTTCCTGCAAGAAATGGGCATTACATTTTCACAATATCCGTTCAGTTTCTCGCAATGACGTTTGGTTTGTTTGTTATTACGATCCTTATCTCAGATGTCGGCATCAAATTGTTAGAGTATTACATTTTCTGCCGTTGTTTTGCTGGTTGCTAGGAACGCTTCCACGGACGAAACCAAGCAGTGTGTATGCCTTTGTATTTTCTTGTGGCATATGAGCTGTTAAAATATTTGTGTAATTGTTGATTATCTTTGTTTAATAAAACAATAAATAGATGGAAATAAAATGATGTAAATGCCCCTGGATTACGTGTATTTTTTTCCCCAAAAAATCGGTGACACAACCCGGAAATGAATGCTGGTGCTAAGAAATATAGAGACACCACCTTTTTTTATGGTATGTTTCGCGTTAATGCAGCCTATTCACGTTTTTCATTCAGTGATCAGATATTTCTATTGGGTAATTTTTATGGTTACAATAATAAGCAGGATAATTTTACTCTAATACAGTTAGTGAATACAAAGATAGATACTAAGTAAATATTCAGACCTAAAGATAATTTTTGGAGGAGACTGGAATTGTTCCTTAAATGATAATTTAGATAGATGGCCAAATAGAAGTAATGATCATAATACATATATGTTGGATTTTATGAATGAAAGAGACTTGGGGCTCTATTTTCGTGCCTCGCCGGAGACGTGCCGTAAGCGCAGCGTCAGTCAGATCCGCCGCGCTGACAAGGCGTTCCCGAGCACATTTTGGTATTTTGGTGAGCCGTGCATCCCGGCGTAAGTATCCCCCCTCCTTAACTCAGCTCCTCCCAGCAGCATAAGTCGTAGACGGGGAGGAGAGAGGGCGTGTAGTGGATTTAACACAGCCGAGACCTGTTTTCACCAATCACATAAGCTCCTCTCCTTGCCTTTAAATCCGCCACAGGCGAGGCGTATTACTATTTTCATGAAGTAGTCAAAGAGATCAAGAGATGTCTTAAGACAGTAATGCCACGAGATGGCGACAGAGGGCCGCTCCTCAACAAGTGTCACTGTCGCATTGGGCGTCCTTCACACTCTCTCTTATGAGCACAGATGGATTTGGTGTGTGTAATCATGGACCCAGTGGTAAGACAAACACCCTTTTCCACAAATAAAGACACTCACATAAAGTTTCTCATATTCAAACCTCACGTGACAAAGGTGGGTTGTGTGCACAGATCACAACATAAACTCAAAAAATGGCATTAAAATCGGAACCATCTGTGCGTAAATGACGCATCGCCCTCCGTGGCCTGGCTCTTTCTTTCATAGATGTTGGCATATAAAATAAATTTGGCCCACAAAACTGAATATTATAATATCCGGCTTAAAGTAGATAACGCATCTGAGCACTGAAACAAATCATCTGTTCAGCCGCAGCAGCAGCAAGACGGACAGAGGACACGGAGACGTGTCCAGGTCGAGCTGTGCGAGAAATAAGAGGAAGAGGAAGAAAGAAAAGGAGGGAGATGAATTACATATCTTGTTAACTTCATCATGTGTGTATATTTACTAGATATTTAATTTAATTTGATGCAGTTTCAGCTGTGTTGATTCGGTCAGGTTGTGTGTCCAAACGCGTGCCAAACGCGCTCATCAGATCACATATAGATCAGAATATATCTATATAGATCTAAATGTATGTGCTGACTCAGATTAATAGTTGATGATGATTATTTATTGCACTGAAATCTGCCTGACACTGTGGAAACCTGCCGGTGAGGCATAAGTGATGTATGCCGATACGCCGCCGGTCTACCAAAATACTACTAGACCAGCTGCGTTCCGCCTTGCGCTGAAAGCTGACCAGGTTTGAATCGGCGAGCTTTCAGCGCACTTTACACGCCGGTGGAGAGCACGAAAATGTCACTGCGCCTGCTGATTCTGTCGACACCTCCCCCTGCCACGCCACCACGCCCAGCTTGGCGGATCTCGGCTCGCCTCCGTGCGGCTCAGTCCACGAAAATACCAAACTGGCCTTACACCGGGCTCCGCCAGACGAAAATACAACTGCGCGGGGCTCGCCGCCCTCCGCAGCCTCACCGGTGCGCACGAAAATAGAGCCCTTGGTTGATATTTGGAGATACAAGAACCCTACTGTTAAGGAATTCACATGGAAAAACAAACAGGGCACATTATATCTAATGTGCCATATATAGATATAGCCATATGTATATATATTTATATATATATATATAGTTTTTTTTTTTTTTGCAGAACATGAATAAAACTCATTGCCACTGCAAGGATGCTTTTTTTTCTGTGGAAAAACTTTATTGTACAATGTCCACGGGACCAATATTGGCCGTGAATAGGCTGCAGTCACAAGAACCAAAAAAGTATTGATTATCTTGATAATCCAGCGGTATATGTGTGTGTGTGCATGCGTGCGTGCGTGCATGTGTGTGTGTGTGTTTTCTCAGCGCCAGCATTCATTTCCGGGTTGTGTCACAGAGGTATGGGGACGCCGATTTTTGGAAAAAAAAAAAAAAAAAAAACGTAATCCAGGGGCAAACATCATTTTATTTCTATCTATTTATCGATCATTCACCCATCGATCACTGAATACTTTATGCATTATTGCCACATTTCTTTCTTTCGTTTTTTAAAATATATAGTTAAAACTATATATTTTACAATGTACGATAAAGCTTGGACATTGGACAAATGGACATTGGGACTAATACCTTATTGACCGTGAATAGGCTGCATTAATGCGAAACATACCATAAAGAAAGGTGGTGTCTCTATATTCTCAGCACCAGCATTCATTTCCAGGTTGTGTCACAGAGGTACGGGGACACTGATTTTGGGGGAAAAAATACATGTAATCCAGGGGCATTAACATCATTTTATTTCCATCTATTTATTGTTTTATTAAACAAAGATAATCAACAACTACACTAATATTTTACAGCTCATATGCCACAAGAAAATACAAAGGCATACACACCGCTTGGCTTCATCCGTGGAAGTGTTCCTAGTAACCAGCATAACAACGGCAGAAAACGTAATACTCTAACAATTTGATGCCGTCATCTGAGATAAGGATCGTAATAACA